TTATGTAGGAATATAGAACATTCAGTTATCAAAAACTACTCCAAAGTTCCATTATTTATAGTATCGTTCTTTATCTTGTGGAGTTATTGTAGTTAGATTATTCCAAAGTGCCCATTATTTATAGTATCGTTCTTTATCTTGTTGTAGTTTCTTATGAACTTGGAATAGAGTGGTGGTTTTCTTCAAAGTGTCCATAATTTACAAGTGAAACTGTTTTCAAGATTTCCATCTAATATGCAGCATAGATATATATTGAAAGCATAGACAAGGCCCATATTGTGTATTGGGTCTGACTTATTATATTCTCATTGAATACTAGGGCTCCGTAGTTGTGTAGTCTATATAAGGCATGTAATAAATTTAAGTGTAACATAGAGAAATACAGACAGTCAGATATTTTCCTTTTATTTTAACATGGTATCACAGCCAAGGGTTTAAGATCCTTTTTTTTTTTCTTTCTTTCGCAAGATCAATTATATAATTTTTTTTCCACAATAGCCGTCATCATCGAATCAATTTTATTTTATTTTTGGGTTTGCTTGGTTGCTGAAGTACATCCACCAATACAGGTGTAATCGGACACAATACATATTCAAGGGTTTCAGGAAATTGCAGCGTCAGCTGCTTCGAACATAAATGTTGTTAAAAAATCCCTCCAACTCAACCAAATGCTATGCCCTCGGCTTTCATCAAATAAAAACTCAATAATGTGCTTGATTTCAGATATTATCTATACTCTATAGCTTGACCAAGAGACAGCAGAGAATAAATTGGTTCTCCTACTTTACACCTATGTCTTTTACCTGTTTTTAATCTATAATCTACATGCTAATTGACCTTTCTACCTTAATAGAGGGTAAGCGGCATCTGGTGAGAATGTGACTCGCTATAGGTTAACTCAACATGAATGTCACGCATTGTCATCAAGAACGATGCATTGGACTCCCAACAGAAATCAGGATAACTGCTCAAAAGAGTAACAAAATAACAACTGTAATTCATACTCAGTATGCTTGAAATCTTTCCCAGTCCAGTGACTAATCAAGCCATCTAACTTGATTTTATGTTCAGAATCCATAACAATAAAAAGTAATATTCAAACCATGAACTTGAAGTAACACTATTTTGGTGGCAGGAATTAACATTTTCAGCCCAAATAAACACAGCCTGAGAGTGCAATAATCTTTGATCCTGAGTCCTGACCAATATTAGTGAATAAGCCCAATATATATGAATCATAAGTCCTACCAATGTCAAAATTTTGACAATTCCATTGCCAATTAGTTCAGCATATGGCCTACATTAGCCATTACCCTTTCAATGAATGCAAAATCCACCCCATCAACAAAGAACGATAAAATGAAATTCGCTAAGGATTGATTGAAGAACCAGTTCCCCTTTACTTGACAGCTACAAGCCTACAACCAAACTACACAACTACACTCATTGAAGTACACATCCCCCTAGTTAGGCTAAGCAACTTCTGATAACCCATCAAAAAAAATTAAAAATCTGATCAGGCAATATCAAGCCTCCGCAATTAATCTAAATAGATCATCTAAGCCCACTTACTAGTCACTATACAATAATAAACAATCATGAAATTGGGTGGCATTCGCACACATATACTACCTCCGTTTTATATTATATGCAACATTACTAAAAAACGGTTGCTACACGTGCAACAAATATATTACTTCCCTTTTGAGTTGTCTTCTCTCTGTCTTCTCATCACATGCATTTTTTATCTTTCTTTCGCCACTTAACACTCTCAAACAAATTTTGAGTGTCAAGACTTTTGTTGCGGAGGTAATATATATTTTGATACACTTGAAAAACATCAAAAGTGTTTCTTTGCCATTATATTATACAGATAATCAGTATTCCCTTCAAATTATACACTTGATCCATCATAATATGTAATTTGAGTGCTATTTCCAACAATTTTGCTAAAAAAAAACAATCATTATCAACAATCAAAAACACCAATTTGAATTATAATACAGTACAAGTAGTAATCACTATCAGAGCGAAAAATAATAATAAAAGTTGAAATTAAAAGTCCAAAATATACGGAGTAGTTGAAAAATATAAAAAGAGGGAGTAGAAAAGAGAAATAGTAATAGTGGTACCTTAAGAATTAGTGGTTGCCGCTTTATTTCGCTGACTGATGTTGTTGGCGGGTTGGGAGGATTGAGAAAGAGGGACGGTGGTTCTGCTAGTAGATTTGTCTCGGACTCAGGGTAAGGGTAAATTGTTAATGTTGTGGGATGAGAATTTACTGTGTACGGTAAATTGGCAAATACTTGTACGTTGTAGCTAACACGGCAATTTTGTAAAAGTACTAGTACTACTACCTCCGTTGGCCCGTTGCATATTATTGCAACAATAGGATAAGTTGCAAATAATATGTAACTAAGAAAATAATGTAATTGGGTTATACCATAAGAGATTATAGTTGTATGTGTTTTTAGTGGTATCAAAAACACTTCTAGAGTTCTAGTAGTGGTACTCACATTTAGGGCCGTACACCGGTCTAAAACTGGACTAGACATGACTTGACCTGAATAGATCGAGACTAGAGTCATTGATTTTTAAGGATTGGAAACTAGACTCAATCACCAGGTTCGGATCCGGTCCAATCCTGAAAAATCAGGCCCGGTCCAAGTTTGGACTCGTAAATACCTTATTATTGTTTTATTTCGTTTTTTTTTAATGAAAAACATGTTGGATCTGTTTACCACCTGTTAAATAATAATGATAATAACAATAGCTTTACCGATTTTAAATTCAAACCTGAGCATTTCCGATTTTACCCGAACCGAGCCTAAAACCCGAAATCATGGATTTTTAAGGATTGAGACCAGACATGAATTTATCGGTTAGGTTCCGAGCTGATCCAAACAGGTCCAGTTCAGGTCGGTTTCAGGTTTGATCTAATTTGTGTACACCCCTACCCACATCAAGTACATTATAGTGATACGAAACATAATTTGGCCTAGTGGTAAAAGTTTCTATATATGGTTGTGAGATCAAACATCAATAAAAACATTTTGGGGTAGGGATTCCCTTACCAGGCCTCCCCCGCTCCACTCCCTACGTGCTTAGCCTGCTAACTCGGATCGGGAGAACCTATGAAATGTTCTGGCCCCAATTAACAAACATATTGTTAAGATATATATTAATGAATTACTTCGTACATTTTACTTTGGAAGAAAACAATAAAGGTTTTCTTAAAGTTTGAAATATTCCTCACTTAGTCACTTCTTTTAAACATTGTGACTTTGCATATATAGTTACATAATCATGATTGTGTACCTAGTAATTAATGTATCATTTACTTTTTGTGACTTTGTACCTAAAGCATGAATCTATAAGGAAAAGCTGAACGTATTGCCATATAAATACAGTACTTCTTAAAATATATCCTCAATATGTCAAGCTTCTTCTTTTACGCTTAATTGGATAAGGAAGAATATATTCACTAAGAATCAAAGAAGACTTTTTAAAAAAGAGTTTAGGTTCCATTCCTAACGAGAGAAAGCTTTAGGAGCTGACACTAAACCTGTGAACTTTATTATGTAGGTTTTCGTTATGTAGAAGTACTATCTACGGTATATAATTTTGAAGAAATTATAAATTATCAACTAGACATCTCAATGACATAATCCGTGATAATCTACTACATATTTGGACAAGCATTTGTATGTTACTTAATGGTTCATAATAGATTGTGAAAGCATTTTAGCATGTTTCCACCAATTAACATAGACAATTAAGAACGACAATAGTTGAAATGTCTTTATCTAGTCACAATCAGTAGATTAATTAATATATTCTATGTACATTGCTACAAAATTTAATTTGTATTCCATCTAATTATTATAATTCTAAATTCCTTATTTTTCAATAATAATTTATGCAAGTCATCAAGTCAAGTGGGTGTGTACTCGGCTATAAGAAAGTAAGGTGATACATCGTACTATGACAAGGGTCTAAGGGTTTTACCTGATTTAGCATCTTAACACTAATAAGATCTTATATTCAAATCCTACTAAAAATCCTTGTATTGCCTTATTCAGCTACCGAGCCAACCGATATAGAGTTGATTTATCGTTTTACTTAAAAAAAGTTTGATCTATAAGTTGAATGGAATTGCCTTGCGAGAAATAAGAAGTTCAAGGTTATAAATATATAAGACTATACAAATACTAGGTTAATTGGTACAGTATTAAGGACATTAATCAATACAAAGGACATCTTCATATTTACTGAACTGAATTGATGAACTGAACTGAACTGATTGGAGCTGAAGTAAAAGAGCTAAAATGAATATTTTATAAGAAAGGGAAATTAGGAGATGAAATGAAATGAAATTAAGTTCAATTGAAGAGGCCCAAATTTATAAATAACAACTTCAAGTGGATGTAGTCACATTCCATTCCCTTTTTAAAAATAATTCTTCATACAAATAAAACAAAATATATCCCTTATAAAACTAATAAAATATAATATATTTGACCAATTAGATCCACCAACTTGCCAAATAAATATGTTTTTGTATTTTTGTGGAAAAAAAGATTTCTAAAATCTAACCATTACACCTTCTATGGCCAAAGTCTCCACTAGTTAGGTGAAACCATCATTTTCAACTTTACAATAATGAAAATAAATACCAATAACAAATTAACAATAATAGCAAGGTAATAATAATATCTCGCTTATTTAATGAATAAAAATTGAAGTAATATCTTGTCAATATTTATGAATAAAATTAAAAGTAATATCTTAGCTAAGTGACAATGGAGTCAAGCATGCTCAATATGAAAACCACACGTGTAAAAAGAAAAAGCCACCGACAGTTAAACCTGTTGTTTAATTTCCCAGACTAAAAATTGACCACGTGGTCGTATTTTACTGGATTTGCCAACTTTTTAAATTTAATATTTTTTGTTTTTTTATGAATATGTGGGTTTATAAAGCATACGTACCATACATTTATCTTTTTCCTAACTTTATGATTTTGGAAGGAGCCTTCTTCTTCCCGTTTCCAGAAACAAAAATAAATAAAAAGACTTTTTCTTCGTAAAGAAGGGATTATTCTTATTATTATTCAAGAAGATATATTAGAATTTCCGAATTTTTAGGGGATTGGTTTATCATAATTCGTAACGAATTATATTATTTTCATCGTTGGATAAATTAAATACCGAAAGAAAAAAGGGTGAAATATCGATATTACTCAAAGTACTGTACTATGGAGTGTTATTGGTTGGAGAAAAGAATCATCTATCCTGTTAAACGACTTTGCCGTGGTCTAGCTGCTCGTCTTGGTTTTCGCAAGCGTGGTAAGTAATACTCCCTCCGTTTTTAAAAGTTTTTAATTTTTGTTTAGACGATAATTGTGTCATAAAAATGTAAAAAAAGTCGAAATTAGTTGATGGTAATTACTCAATTAGAAACTGTTTTGAATTTTTGATAGTAGATTAAGTACAACAAATTGCAGTTGTTTTGAGGAAATCATTGTTAAAACATTATAATTATATGCATGAGTTGATGGAAATTTGTTTATTATTGCGTTATTTGGTTTGTATTAGATTGATTTTAGATTTGAGTTTAAGAGGTATTACAAAACTGACTACCCTTAATTACTTTTGTTTTTATTGATTACATGGGCCGGTTTTACTTTTCTGGTTGTCCAACCGTTGGTAGTTAGTTGGTATTAACTACTACGAGTACTATTAAGAGATTATTAAGGAATAGTCATTTACATAAATAACATAATAGTATTAATTGATGATGATGATTTATGTAGTATGCAAATTTAATCGAGGGATAATGAACAAATTCATGTATTCCTGTATGAGATTGTCTCATAAATAATCTTATAGAGGACGGTATAGTCTTTAATTTGAAACTATATGACGAAATAATTTGTAAATAGTTAGAAATTTCAACTATTATTGTTGTTATTACTCCATAATGGAAATTTTTGAGGTCTAATCTAACCCTTTTTCACGTTATAATAAATAATTCATCCATACTCCGTATTACATATGGATTAATTTTTGTGGTTGTTCAACAGTTAGTTGGTACTAATTTAACTACTAGCACACGGGATATTTAGGACCGGTCACTATTATAATATAGATGAGTTGATTTATCGATCATGCTTTAAGCAGTTGGGTAGCCTAGAGCATGAAGCACGAGGAATTGAGGACGATATTTCATGACATAGTGTTAATTTGTTAAATTGTTATGTTACGTGAAGACCTGTAACTAACGAACATACAGTTAGGGATGAGAGGTCGAGGAGGATAGTGTATAAGTCAAAAATAATTGTCGGACAAGTCAATAATATTGTCTATTAGATGATATGATAATGACGATTACAAGCATATAACTATAAACTAGTGTTTGATTTGCTGGCTTACGAGTTATGATGACTTAGATTCCTGTAAGCTGAAAGTTACATAATTAAGATCATGTAAGCATGTTGTTTTTCTTATTAGTCTGATGCGTTTAAGCTTTCAAGTTGATAGTACTTAATTGATGTTAAAGCAGCTAGGATATTATAAAGATGAAAACGACCCTTAACAACTTTGGTTGACTGTTAGTAATTCTATTTCTTTAATTGGGATGTTTAATTTGAGAAAGTTGAACAATAGCTTATGAATTTGGCTGCTATGACTTGAAAAAACAGGAATATTGATACTAAGTCAAGAAGTACAAGCTTGTGAATACGAAGATGTTCGAATCATGTGGGAGATGTTGAAGAAATCGGAGACTTCTCATGAAGTATCTCGCTCTCCTTCCCCTAAATGGCTCAAGAAAAAATCTATGAAAAACGCCTTAGCCTGGGCTAGATCAAACACTACATGCCTTAGCAACAAGTTTTGGTAGACGGCGATGTATTTATATATGCTGCAGCAGCTCTGAACTTGTTAGAGATATGAGATATCAGAAAATATATGTATGATATATTTTCCGTAAATATCATTAAGGGAATAATATATTTAGGTTTATGATATGTTAAGATATTATTTAGTGAATATATCATTAGGATAAATGGTATATCTTTTGGGAAGATTATTTCCTATCTCATGAGCATAGGTTTTGTATAAATACTCAACTTACTAATAGAATAATGATCAAGCAATACAAAAGCTATTCATTCTCTCTTCTCTCTAATTTGTCAGAACTCTTCAGGACACAGTGTAGCTATTTCGGTACAAGTATACTGCTTGGCCATCAGCATTCAACATTTCCATGTAAATGAAAAATTGTCTGGACATGTTGATATAATTTGGCACCTAGAGACATTATACGTCGAGGATTGATGGATTTGATCTCTCAGAGAGCGGATAAAATGATCCTTTCTTCGGGGTACTCTAGTGAAATCAGTGGTATAAACTTGAATAAAAACTTGTGTTTAACCCGAATATTGACATATTTTCCAAGACGCCCTTAAGCTAGAACAGATCATTTGTCCGACCCTTGAGAGATCTTCAAGAGTTTATCGCGATCCATCTAGTAATAATAATGTGTGCCACAAACAATTTGCATCGTGGATGCTTTGGAAAATCATAAGGGAGACTGATCATGTACTTTCATGGTGATGTTTATTTGCTATTATATATGCTGTTATTTTGGGTTTATCCTAGTATTTTCTTGCGCTTGTTGTTTCACTTTCATCATAGCCCTGCTTGAGAAAATGAGAGGTATTGAAAACAGAGCGGTTTGATGTTGCGAAATGAGTCTTCATACACGACCTTACTTGAGCAGGATCTGTTCTATAGGATCGTACCTCGTATCCTTGAGTTCTAAGGAGACAGAAATGAGTCTTCAGACACTTCAGTCTTGTTTTCGCCTTGGTGGTGGTTATATTGCCCATCATAATGCAAACTAGTTAGGAGTTTTGCACTCAGATTTAATAGGATGAAGGGTGAATTCTTCTCGAAAATTGAGTGGTTAATTTGTCAATTCCAATCTTGTGAATAGATATACAAATTGATGAAATACACAAACATAATCCGACTCTTGAATTCCACATAAATGCTTAAGAAGTTCAACATTATTTGCATTTATAAGTGTATGTTAACTAACTTTGTTGGTTAAAGTATTAAAGGGTGATACTAAGATCAAATTATGTATACACCATTGTCCTTGTGACCCTATCCACGCCGAGAGATAATCTTAAGAATTGAGATGTAGCCAAATATGTGCGAAATTCATCATGCACTCTTGTATAACTAAGTTTATTTGTGTGACTCATTTGTTATTTTAGAGGGCAGTAGATGAGCAAATAAGCTCTCAAAATGGTTGATAAAACAAAAAATTATATAGCAAATAACATTTCATTTGAAATGTAAGATATACTTCTATAAGCAATAAGCTAATCTATACCGTTTTACTAGCTCTTAAGCAATTTAAATGAATGTGAATACAATTTTAAATTTATCGGCGTGAATAAAAATATAAACACTAATCGTAAATAGAAATGTCAAAATCTGGCCCAAATTAAAAGAAAAAAAAATAAATAAATTATATTTCGACTCGCTTTAACATGACTTAAGTTTAATGTAAAGCTGGCCCGACTTCACCAAATTCAACCCAAACACCCGAATTGACACTTGTACTCGTAATTAATTATTTATCCCTACACTCTAAAGCAAGCATTACTCCCTACACCCCCACTTAAACGGCACCGTTTAACTCCACCATTCCCAGTTTCCCATTACCCATTTATCCACTACCATTTCACTTTCTTTATTCAAAAATTCAACGTTGCCGCCATCTCAATCGTCAGGGCCCATGTCCTATTTTTCTTCTTCTTTTTAGATAATTTTTTTTTAATTGTTATTTTCGATTTGTGGCTGCCACTGTATCAATTAGTTGGTGATGATAGTTCAATTGTTCATATGTTTCTGTAAAATTATTATTATTATTATTATTATTATTATTATTGTTGTTGTTGTTAAACTATGTTTTTTCATATCTGAGTTGACGTTTAATTGTAGTTCGTTCCTTATTTCAGCATGATCTAGTTGATCTAGCATGAACTAGTTTATCTAGCTTAGAGCATATTATTGATAATTTAATAAAAAAAAATTCGACTCAGTGAACTTCATTGCTCAAAAAGACCGCGGGATGCTAAGCCTTCGATAATAGCATTGTTTGATGTTCATTCTCACTTAGAAAAATGTTCATTCTCATTTACAAAAATGTTCATTTAAAAAATGTTATATGTTCAGGTCGTTCATTCACTAATAGGTAAGGGGTAATAGATATACATTTGATTGTTGTTATTTCTTCATTTTTGTGTCGTAAAGTGCTTGCTGAATTTTCTACATGTTCATATGGGAATCTCATTTCGAGCCAGTTAAACTTCAATTACAAATTTCAATACATGTGTCTTCTTATAAGTTACAACTTACAAGGATACATGGTGAATATCATATTAATAGATGTGAAAGAAAAGTCCTCGATCAAGTATAGTAACTATTGAATATAAAAAAGGATTAATTAAAGAGATAATTGATTTTATAAAAAAAAATATCAATGTTCAGTCTTTTTGATAATTATTTAGAGTGAAAATTTATTTTAATGAATGTTCATTGTTATTTGGTATATGCTCAATTACATAAAAGTATATGCTCATTCACATATTGATGGTTTCAAAAAAAAAAAAAAAAAAAAAATTATATATATCATATTCATTGATCATTATCTTTCAAGGTCATACCAATCAACCTTACAACTTGAAGTAATGATTTAGCATTGCTTATTTTATACTAAGTATTTTTTCTTTGAACAATTGTCGATTCTCAATATGTACGTTTTAAATATGCAAGGATGTTCATTTTAAAAGACATAAATGTACATTTTTAAAGCTAAATTTATGCTTATTTCTAATTTAAAATTTCATTTTCATCATATTAATAGGTGATTAGGTTTGCCTGTATGATATTTATAATATTGACTGACCTCTATTTGGCTCTTTTACAAAAATTAGTCATCATTATTGATCAATATTACAAAATTAAATCATGCATGTTCTACAGTTGTAACACAAAATGTACTCCCAACTTCTACATATCAACATTTATACTTATATTCTGAAATTTTAGGGCTAATTAAATACATACAACCTTTCCCCACAAAAAATGTAAAATATTATTAGTTACTAAAGTACATAGTTTACTACAGATCTTTACCCATTGAATATATAAGATGATCATTTACAAATATTAGATACTTACTAACTTTCAAAATATAAATTAATTTTATCATATAAAATGTTCTTTTTCATATTGGTATATGCCCATTTTTATTATGATTCATGATAATTTCATTTAGAACAAGTAAATGAATTTATTTTAAATAAACATATACACATACATCAAGGTTCATATTGATACTCCAATAGTAGAATTTGTTATATACATTCGGGTGCGTACAACTCATCCAAGGTTTTTGCTATTCATTTGGCTATTAAATGAAAAACAATCATCAAAATGAGAATAATCATGGGTGTACAGTGCACCCGGGTGTATATAACAATCTTTCCTAATTACCTATTATTATATTTTGTATTGTTTTTAATAAAATTTATTCTATTATGTAATAATGAACATTTACACATATTAAAAAAGACATTAAAATGATAAATATTCATACTTTTTTTTTTGTGTTTTGAAACATAAATATTCATACTTATATACTATTTTTTTTTTGAAAGAATACTTATATACTATTATTGAATATTCTATAACACATTTTATTATTTTTTTTAACTTTTAGGTATAGAGTATTTTTTTTTTACAATAATACCTCCTGTTGAAGGCTGTTTATTTTATTAACTAATTAATTAATTTGCAAAGTGAAATTTTTTCTGTGGAGGCGGATGCATCATGCTTGGTGCATCCGGTTTTCTTAAAAAAAGGCGGAATGAACATTTAGTTGTTCAATAAAGAACATTTAGTTGTTTTATAAAGAACATATAGCTATTTTATAAAGAACATCTTGTTTTATATGTTTTTTTAGTAAATCTAAAGAACATTTGTAATATTAGTAAAGAACATGATAATATTAAAGAACATTATTCATATAGTAAATGTACATTTAGTATAAATGACCATGTATGTATATAAAAAAAAGTATATTTTATTGTATTATAATGTACATTGTATTATATTCTAATGAACATATATGTTATAATGTTGGTTACATGTTTAATATACATTGTATTATTTGAATCATGTAAGTATATGAAAAAGAACATTTTACTGTATTTTAATGTACATTGTATTATTTGAATCTACAACTTTTTCTAAAATTGTCTATTTGCTTGCTTTCTTCTTCAAAAATGGATTAATCGGGCGATTTCTTCAAGAACTTCATTTTATTTCTCATTGCAACAACATAACCACACATAGGTGAATTTTAATGCTATATAAATAAATGTTCAGTTGTAAAATAATAAATGTTCATTTACAATTATTTTTTAACAAAATGTTCATTTATAAGATAGTATATGTTTATATATGGAGTATAAAAGTTTGCCAATAATTTGGCCAGTTTGATTTTCGAGCCTGACCAAGATCACAAATCAGCATAAGCCGATGTGCTTCCTTCAAACAATCCATGGTAATGAACTAATGATATGACATAATATCATCTTCTATATCTCCCGCTACAGCTAATATGTCGTCCACAACCATAACCACGAGGTCCACGACTACCGCAATAATCACGACTGCTACTGCAAATCAATTTAATTGCAAAGATCCCAGATTCTGATCAATCTATCGAAATTGGGTGTTTTCAGGTGATCAATCTTGGAATTTTGCCGGAGTTGACAAAAATAGTGGTCTAGAGAACACGGGACATGTTTTAGAATGTTATCGAAGAAGAAGATTATGTCGATGAGATCGCCGAATATGGATTTTTCTTTAGTTCATAAAGATGGATATAAGCTGCTATATTTTTTCGGTGAAATACAATAATTTAAGGGGGAAGAGGTGGGGAGATGGAGGACTGGAGGAGATGCAATGAGGAGAGGTGCAGGGGGATGTAGTGGGGTGGGGGTGTAGGGATTTTTGCCAACAACAGATTGTAGGTAAAAATTTGTATACTCGTAATAGTTAATCTTATATTAATCTTGAACATAATCAAAACC